AACTGTTCCTTGAGCTTTAAATTTTCTTTGTTCATTTTGTTGATTTCAGCTTTCATGGATCGGATTTCGAAATTCAAACTATCAAATTTGTTTTGAATTAATTCATAGACAGATTTAAGTGAGTATTCAGGTTCAATGGTCTTTGTTAGTATATTTTCTTCCGGTTCGAAAAAGTCTTTTATTGTAGCATACCTCGAGATATCAGTAGTATTCTTGGATTGTTCCTCAATTAGGTATTCCTCTCCTGACATTTCACTTGTCTGAGTATTTTCTTCCATATCTCTTGTATGCTTTTTACGTGGTCGCCCTCATCCCCTTTTTTGCATAACTGCTTGACTTGGTATTGGAGGAGATCGAGGAAAAGGTCCGGGATTTAACTCAATGCCAGCAATCATTAGTAAAATAAAAATTATTATTCGAGTTAATGAAACATTTAAACTACTTATTTCAGTTCAGTAATTATGTTACAGTAATTATGAATATTTGGAATTTTTTAATCTCCAAAGTTAACATCTCATTCTGTATTAATTGAAGTTCATGTAGTGTACATGTTATGTCTGTTATATCATGAATAGATAAGGATCCAATTTATAATTTATAAACTCCATATGTTTTAGTCAGAAAGCTGCATTATTTAGCAATGGATCAAAACTTCTTATTTATGATGGCTTGAATAAATTATAATATAATGTATGTATTTAATTTATAGTATCTCTTCCTAAATGTATTGATCCCACAATTTTAAAACTTGTCAATGTTTAAAGTCAAAATAAAGACTTTTATAAATAATACAGTAGTCATTTTTATTATTCTTACATATAAAATGAATATGTTGTAAACTTTATTAATTATAAATGATAAAATTTATAATAAAATATTTACAAAACATTTTGTGCCACAACTTATTGTTATAACTTATAATTATTNTTCAAGTGTACAGTATTTATATCTTCATGTATTTTCTTTTTCTGTTCTTGCAGTAGACCTTTTTCTTCTTTTATATTTTTAAATGAAGAGCACTGATGTAAGTAAATCTATTATTCAATTTTTTCTTTAATCTTGGAAAATATTTTCTTCTAATTATCCAAAGAACAACTGAAAGTAATAACAACATATATGAGATTAAATTTTATATGACTTTTAGCATTAAGTATTATTTATATTCATATTCGTATTTATTAGTATTGTTTCCTATAAGACAAATGCAAACCATTCAATCCTGTAAAATAGGAATTTTAGTTTTGTTTCTGCTTTCTGTACTTTTTGGGTAAACATTAGCTAAATGAAAAAAATTAAATCATCTTAAATATCAGACAAATTCACATTCAATGTATATTATATAGTGATTAAAATTTCTATTCACTATGCTAAATCTTTTAAAATATACAAATTCTCTTTTTAAATTAATATTTACAAATTAACAGTGTACACATTTATTGAAATATAACTATATTTTTATTCAAAATAAATAAATACAATGCTGTTTAAAAGGTGGCAAGTTTAATTATTTAGCAGCTATTAAAAATACTTTCTTCATTTACATGATAAAGTGAAGGACTAAATAAATACCATCAAAAATATGAATCTGGCTGCTAAAAATTATGAATCTTAAATTTGATGTTACACTTTTGATATTGATTATTTATTAATATTAATTAAGCTATGTAATTTTGTTTCTTGAATAAAAAAATAATCTAGAAATTGATATAATGTGTTCTTACAACATGAACTCTCATATATTATTTACAATTTAACTTTTTGAGTAAGTAAAAAAAATACACATTAAAGTATAATAAAAGTTTAACATAAATTTGTATTAATACTATATAGAAAAGAAAAGTACTATACTATATACTATAGAAAAGTCTTCATAAAATTTTTTATGTAAAGTGATAAAATGTATTTGAACAGATTCTAATGTATCCTCAAATACAACTCCAGATTCTTACTCCTGATGTCTTCATGATTTAGCCAGGTTTAGAACATCCAAATAAAATTTCTCTTTCCTAAAAGTAAAAAAAAATTAATTTAACAGAAATCAAATTTTATAAATTAATTATATAAGCAATATCATTTATCAATTCTGTAATAAAATTCTTTCTTAAAACATATTGTATAAAATACAAATAAAGATTTATAACAAAAATTTATTCTTGTATTCCTTATCCTTTTCGCAATCACAGGAAACATTTAAAAACATTCATTTCTATCAGTCTTATTATAAAGTAAAACATTCTTTTTAAACATTAATTAAATTTTTTCAAAATTTACCTACATGTGTTTTGAATAAAAAAGGTGTTTCATTAAGCTTTCCTTTTCTGTAAACTTCTGTTTACACTCATCGCAGGCATAAGGCTTTTCTGTATTATGGGTCCGTACATGTGCAATTAAACTGTTTTTTTGTGTGAAGTTCTTCTGACAGGAGTTACAAGTGTAAGGCTTTTCTCCAGTGTGAATACGTAGGTGTCTTATTAAATTTCCTTTTTCTGTAAACTTCTGTTTACACTCGTCGCAGCCATAAGGTTTTTCTCTAGTATGGGTGCGAATGTGCGAAATTAAAGTTGCTTTTCGCGTGAAGTTCTTCTTACAAAAACTACAAGTGTAAGGCTTTTCTCCAGTGTGGGTCCGTACATGTGCAATTAAACTTGCTTTTTGTGTGAAGTTCTTCTTACAAAAACTGCAAGTGTAAGGCTTTTCTCCAGTGTGAATACGTAAGTGTCTTATTAAACTTCCTTTTTCTGTAAACTTCTGTTTACACTCATCGCAGCCATAAGGTTTTTCTCTAGTATGGGTGCGAATGTGCGAAATTAAAGTTGTTTTTCGCGTGAAGTTCTTCTTACAAAAACTACAAGTGTAAGGCTTTTCTCCAGTGTGGGTCCGTACATGTGCAATTAAACTTGCTTTTTGTGTGAAGTTCTTCTTACAAAAACTGCAAGTGTAAGGCTTTTCTCCAGTGTGAATACGTAAGTGTCTTATTAAACTTCCTTTTTCTGTAAACTTCTGTTTACACTCATCGCAGCCATAAGGTTTTTCTCTAGTATGGGTGCGAATGTGCGAAATTAAAGTTGTTTTTCGCGTGAAGTTCTTCTTACAAAAACTACAAGTGTAAGGCTTTTCTCCAGTGTGGGTCCGTACATGTGCAATTAAACTTGCTTTTTGTGTGAAGTTCTTCTTACAAAAACTGCAAGTGTAAGGCTTTTCTCCAGTGTGAATACGTAAGT